ACCCCCCCCCTAACTCTGCTTTACTTCTTGCTTGGTGTGTTGAGGCGTCTCAATGCATTCAAGGCAAAGATATTGATCTATTTGCTTTGAAGACTGTTCGAGGTGGTTTCGTGCTATTGCCTTATTTTCTCTTTGTCGCCATTTCTCTTGAATATCTCGAACTAGTTATTTTCATTACAATGTTCCTGATCGTGTGTTCCTTGTTCTTTATTTGTATTGTTAGTCTTGCTTGTGTTCCTTCGTCTGTCTTTGGGAAATTTTGCGCTGTCTTTCTTTGACGTTATTTCTGTTCAATTACTGGCTCTTTTGTTTCTTAATTTCATTTTGTTTTCTTCATGTTTTGAGTTGCTCTTTTTCCGTTTCTGACTCTTGTGTTTCTTTAATTGCATTTATTCTTGTTCTCTGTTGTCTGTTTTCATGTCCTTTGTGCGTACTATTTTTTAAAAAATTCTTTCTCTCTAGTATTTGTTGCTAATGCTTTGCTTTCAAATGTGTGCACACACCAGTAAATTGAAAGATAGACAAAGTCATGCGCTGTGAAAATCGTTTGCTCTTAATCATTTGGCTGCAAAACTAATTTCATTCTGACGTCCTGTAACCTATACAAATAGTAATGTTGATTTCATCATGAGTCCATCACAATGTGTAGCTAATCAGGTCAACCAATCATCCAACGTATCTCTGGCATTGTATTATGAGCGTCAGCATATGTTTTTTTTTTTATCAAACAATATCAAACACAGCATAGGGGGGCTCTCGTGGTGTAAAGGTTAAGGTGTTCATTCAAAGGTCCCGGGTTCGAATCCGGGTTGCGACAGAAAAATGTTATTCTCTAAAATTGTCTCCTTTCACCTTCTTTCCTGCTCTCTAGCAACGTTCTGTCGTCTGCTTTTGTGTCCACTTTCTACTCCAAACTTCACACATTCTTTGCCCCTTTCTCTGGGCTCCTGACTCTTTCTGCAGCCTTTCTACTGCTACTCCTTGGCTACTTTTTACTGCTGTCTTTCAGCCACACCACTGATCTTCTGGTTGGAAAGATCTACACCTAGCCTTCTCGGACAAGGGCGAAAAATCTCGGAGGTCCTGTGTGCAAGTTGTGCACGTTAAAGATCCCTTGGTGGTCAAAAATCAATAAGAGTAGGCTTCGGTCCCCACCCGGGCAAAATTCAAAATTTGTTACCAAGCGAAAATGTTTCATGTGTCCCGCGCGCTCATATTATGACCTTATGCAGATGCGAGAGTCGTAAAACACTTAAGACATTTTTTTATATTTTAAATACAGCATAATATTTCTCTTTGGTCTCACAACAGCAACGTTCCTTGCTCTTACATTTGCTGTATACGCGACTGTTTTGCTTGCTGTCAGGGTCCGGATTCTTATTGCTTTAAGGCGGAGAATCTGGTTTGGTCGTTTGAAAAAAAAAGCAAACCATAATGCGTGAGTTGTTGATTCTCGACCCCATTCGAGGCTCGAAATATCTTTATAACTACGAACCTCTCTGAATGGTCGGTGGTCAGTACCTCTCAGTGCTCATTATGCTTGTTTCGTGTTCGTTTCATTGGGGTCTTCGGTGGCTTGTTGGGTAGTGAGTTCTGACTCAAAAAGTAAAGTCAAGCAAGTGTCGGTGACGCGGGGTTTAGGTGGGTGGTCACTGGGGTGCGTCCTTGAACAAGACACCACAACCTGAGCAACAAAAAACCCCCTCAACAAAACAAAAGAAAACAGGCGCTGCACAGTTGTGAACAACACAGCATGTTTGCAGAACTGTTCTGTATTGGTGTAATATTGTGTATTTATGTATGTATGTATGTATTTATGTATTTATATCTATGTTATGTATGTTTGCAATGGCAATCCAAATTGCCACATGGGGGTCAATAAAAATGTTATTTATTACTATTTTACAACATATTTTGCCTAGCTGCATGACACACACTGTACCCAGCTCCAATCTATGGTCCTCACCTGAAGGCACTGATTCCTTTAAGTTTTAGTAGAGGTTTTACGGCGCTCAGGGCTGCATAAGGTCATATGAGCGCTAGAAGATTAGAGGTGATACAAGAGAGTAACAAACATAAAAAAGAAGAAGGGGAGATAAGGACGATAAATGTCTAATAGGAAAGAAGAAGCAAACCACGCCAGAGCACCTGCCAACAACCCAACCACTGACTTCTGAAAGTAACGTACCAGTTGCATAACAGGTCATCCGTATTGTATAGTATAAGGTTTTACGGCGCTCGCAACTGCTAAGGTCATAAGAGCGCGCGAAGGTCATCCGTGAGCTGAGCCGCTTCCTGTAAATGTATAAAGTGTCCACAAGGGAAAAGGACAGGTATAGTCACATAATGGAAATTGATACAATATTATCAATTTAAAAAAGACAACGACAAAATTTGCAGATTCATAACTTCATTTCTGTTTGACTATTGGTTTATTGTCCTTGTTAGTTGAATGGGAAATCAAACAAAAGTTATCGAAAAACAGGAGAACAGAAATGAAGTTATGAGTCAACATGCATAATTTGAAATTGACATCCTTACAATTTTCAATTCATTTTGTGACTCTGTCCTTTTCCAGTTGACTACTGGTATGTTATCGGTAGTCGTAAGGTAGAAACGGGCGAGAGAAGATGTACAGCATTAATTGTGTGAGTCTGGGTATCAAGATGAAGAGCAAACTTCTAGGGACACTATGGTTAAATGTGTTCGTGCTTGTTTAACGATGCTTCATAACAACGCTAGGAACTCACAAAAGGACTCTGCCCTGTCAAGCAAGACTGATCACTGAGTACTGCTGTCACAATGTCAATCAGACAAATAACTTGTACTGTATGTGAGCAATTAGAACAACATTCAACTGGATAAAACAACATCGGACATGGTCATGTATAACATTCTTTTCTTTAATAATTATTCACTGTATCATGACAAGATATTTTGGAGGAAATCAAATGCAACTACCGAATACCCGAGATCAAAATAAGAGAGAATCTTTTATCTGTTTCAGGTATGGTCGCCAACAGCAGAAACAATAAATAACACAGTCAGCTACAGGCGCACTGTGTGTATATGCAAGGGTTTACATAAAACATTATAAGTCAGTAAGTCATGAACGACAGGGGCATGTGCCATGGAAAGCGCCCCCATTTGTTTGTTCGTTTTAGGGGAGGGGGAAGGGGTGGCGTAGGTTGGGATAACTGTGGTGGTTGTAATGATAGCAACAACCATGATGATGATGATGATGATGATGATGATGATCAATGAGGAGGAGGAGGAGGAGGAG